AGTGCTATTAAGTCTACACTAAATTTCCTACCTATTATTTCTACAATACAAGCTTTGTATATGACATTATTTAGTAGTGTCTCATTCTCAAAAGTAGACACAAACACCACAGAATCAAGATTTTCATGTAGTACATTTAAATATTTTGTAAAAACATGCGAAACAAAAAAATGTGAAGCACCAGTATTAATTTAAACATCTGCAAGGTGATTACAGATAGTATATGTATCATGTATTATGTATGGGTTAGTTTCAGAATCCTTCTGGGTGAGGGTCTAGACTTTGCCCTGAATTAGAAGTCTGTCTTTATTCTGATTCCACGGGCACTCTCTCGCGTAGTACTGGGCACTTCCACATATGCGACATTATTGTTGAGGCAGTAACATAATTAGTCCTCATGATCCTTACCACAATGCTGGCAAATCCTACTGCGTCCTGTTGCCAGGACCTGAAGAGGAGTTTTAGTCGCGAGCCTAGATCTCTTGTTTTGCTAAATCGATGCAGTAAATACTGGTCTGTGATGTGGAACGGGGCTTGAAATTGCCCACTGCTGGAGGAAAGATGCAAAGGTTCCTCTCTATTAGTTGTGCCTTAGCCAGAACTACTGAGTAGGTGTTAAGCTCAAATAGATAAAATTGTTGCCTGATCTCAAGGCGTAGGCCACACTCAAACTTTCTTACCTTTCTGCCTTCATCCATCATGCTCTCAAGAGAATATCGGTTCAACCCTAGGAATTTTCGGGCATACTCAGACACTGTCATCTCACCCTGGACTAGGTATGCAAACTCTATCTGTTTCAAATTCTGAATATGCTCTAAGAGATAATCTGCATTGAAAGCTATCAGGAACTGTTCCCAAGTGACCAGAATGGTCAGGGTAGCCTGCTTCAGCTGCCACCAGCGATTTGCCTCACCTAAGAGTATGTAGGTAGCAAGTATGACCTTTTGTTCAAGAACCAACCCAAAAATTACAAAGACCTTCTCTATTTCTGCTAACCAGTACTCGGTCTCTTCGAAAGTGGATGTCCCTATAAAGGTAGATAGGTTAAGTCTCTTGTACCTTTCAATGTAGGCTGAGTCTATCACGGACGGAATTGGGTCCTGTTAAAGAAGAACTGGATTATGCTGGAGAAGGGTCGGGTGGCCCTATGGCGACACCTGTTATATGGTGGGGCATCGAATTATACTGTGGCGGTGCTAGATGATACGGAGGAGTAGGAACGTATCAGGGTGGCATTGGATCTTCTCGTTGTAGGGGTGGCTCATACTATGCTTGTGGTGGAGGGTCAGACAACTCTCTCCTCTCTTCCTGGGCCTGCTGGGCAAAGATAAGTCTCTCTAGTATCTCGAAGAGTCAATCGACATCCTCTCGAAGAGGCCCACCCTGAGCTGCTCTGTTTAGTGGGAGTCTTCCTCTTCTCATATCTTTCTACCAGCATTTCACAAAAAAGGGTTAAGTGTCGGGTTATATTTGAATGATTCAAAACTTTGTGTAATGAATGGTTCTAAGAAATGCGGATCTGATACCAACTATAGAAGCCCAAAACTTAAAAGAAATGAATATATATTGTAAGGCGAAAGTAATTAAGAGTTTAGGGTTTACATTTCTTACACAATGAATCAGAATGCTCAATAGGGTTACAGGAATGTCTCTTTAAGGAAGTTTTCAATAATGAAATAAATAAATAAAATAAAACACAACTAAAGATCCTATGGAGTTAGTCTCCACTAAGCAACTCTGATGGGATATGAGAGGTAGCTTTATTCGCAATCTTTTTCTTATTGTTCATGATCTGGATCTTAGTATTTCTGATCTGAAAATAGTTGAATAGAAGGATGAGCTACACTAGTTTAGTAAGAATATCATGTTTAGCACTGATACGAAAAACTAAATGTTGGTAAAGTTCGTAAACAACTAATGGAGTCATTATCTCTTTTCAAATAAATTTATTTAACATAAAAATCGTTATTTCTATACTTATTCTTATAAGTTTTCAAAACCAATATATGAAGACAATAACTATGATAGTATTTTATTTCACATTTAAATAAACAATAACAGTAAACTTACCTTCCTACCCGCTTACCAATACCTCTTGGAGTCTATAGGGATCCCCTTTATGCATGGACCTAATATCAAATTTATTATTTAACCGGCTGTCTCTATGCCCGTCCGGTAATGGGCGCCAATATACCATCGTCTCAATACTCCGTCTAATATAAGGGTGAACTATACCTCCCAACCTCTTCTGTATGGACTTCTCAGTCTCGTTCGACTGAGATAATGCCCATAGTAGGATTTTTTCTATGCACTACACTCTTTCCCAAGGTACTCGATAAACCTTTCATACATATATCTATATCAACTAATCACCAATTACATACCAACATTTCATATTTATAGATCAATAGTAAGTTATGCAAATAGACAATACAAAAATTAAAAAAAAAAAAGTGATTAGGACATTTGCTTTGAATCAGTCGATAGGTGAGAATAATCAACCAAGCAATCAATGAACGAAAAAGTAATTAAAATAAATAAACAATAACAACTTAAACAGTATAGAAGAAAATAAACAATACAGTTAGAACAATTATACATTGACTGGTTTCGGCTCCATTGGTGACTTGTAATTAATTTAGAGATTACTAATTTTTATAAAATACAATGTTATTAGTTATTAGACTTTAATTTACTATAACGGGAGAAAATGGTGAGAGATTTTTACCTTGAATCGGTATTCAAAATATCGTCTTTTTCACTGTGCCCTCATAGAAATTCTCGGGTTTCCTGAATTTTTTCTGCGAAAATCAGAAACACGTGTCACGTAACCTGAAATACCCTAAAAAGGCCAAAATGAGCATTTTTTATTTTTTTTATCCTGTTGGTTTAGGGTTCTAGTACGACAGTGATTCCTCTTGGCCTGGCCATTTTCAGCCGGTTTTGGCCAGTTTTTCATGGAAACCTTAAAAAAAAAAGGGTTAGGGAGCCTCTATCGACTGGAAAAAGGGAAATCTGAGACCCTACTAGCGAAAAGGTTTTCCAATGCGGCGGCTCCACCGTTCCTATCTTGCGGTCAGAGCTTCTCTTCGGCTAACCTGCAATAGAATGAAACGAGGAGCACAACGGTCAAAAACTAGAGGGAAACGGAAAACAAGAAGAGGCTCATTGGAGGAGTTTTTGGGTTACGACTGCGGCATCTCGACTGACCTTTGCTCGCAATGTCTGGCTCACCCTTTGGCCTTTTAGCTCCGATATAGATGTGTGGATGTTCAAAATTCAATTCCGAGTGTAAGGGAAAAAATTTACCTTTTCGATATCGGCGGTGGCTCCAGTGCAGCGTCGACGGTGGTCAGTCTCCTTTTTCGGCGACTAGTTTGTTTGCCGGCCACCCCTCTTCTTCTTCTTCGATCTCCTCTCTAGGGGTTAGGGTTAGGATTTCTTGTGAAGAGGAGTTTAAATACTCATCTTCATTAAATCTAGATTGTCTGTTCGAGGAGACGTGACCCATCCTCAGCTGTTGGATCGCTCTTAGTTGGAAAATTAATCTAGGTCGTAGAATTTGATCAAATACAATCCTTCGTTCGCGCTTGAAGAGGAAACGAATATGTGTTCTCCGTGCGCGCGAGATATGATCTGGGTCGTCGGATCTGCTGGCACGGAGATCGCCCATGTGGACGTTTGTCCACGTGTCTGCCACGCAACGCATAAATATTGGCCACGCTACTGACGTGACGGTCCAAATGGCCAAATTTTTATTAATTTTATTTTTATCCCAGTTTTTTAGATTTTTTTTTCAAACAGATCATCCTGTATTTCTATTTTGACACTGATTTTCGAAAATATTTTCAAATGCATCTAAAATCTAATTTAAAAAAAAATTACAAAAAAATAAAAAATTAAATTATTTTAATTATTATACCATTAATATTAAATTCTCCGAGACTAAATTTTCAGGTTCAAGTGTTACAATTAACATTATTTATAACTAAATGAAATGCGATCCAAAATAGATAATTTTATATTTAAATCTTAAAATCCTTTCAACCTCAATAATTTAGTGTTTCTAATTTTTTTCATTGGAATCTCTAGATTATTTTTAAAAAATATTAATTAAAATATTTCTAAAATTTATTATTATTTCATTGAAAACATTTAAACTAAAATTTATTAAATTAAAATGTGTTTCTCAATATACTAATGTGCCACATATAAAAATAATTATCTTCATAGATTAAGTTAATAATTAATAATTTAACATAATTAATGTTATATTTAAATAAAAAAATTCATGATAACTGAAAAAATATTTAATGACAATTAATGTTAAAGTGATAAAAAATTTGATTCGGTATTATCAGTAGCATTTCCTTTAGAACAACATTAACAGTAAATTATGCAAAATAATTAAGAAAAAAAATTATCTAAATACACTCGAAATAATTGGTAACTAAGTGAAAATTAATTTATTGTAAATAATCATTTCTACTGTCATAATTTAGTGTTTTTAATTTTTACAACTAATTAATTTAATAATTAGTATGTCAATATAATTAAGTTCACATTCTTTCAATTGTCATAATTTAGTACTTGTAAATTTGAAAATTAATTAATCTAATAATTAATAAAATTTGAATGTTACATCAAAATAGTTTAATTACTTAAAATATTTTTTAAGAATTTTATTATTTTAAATTTTTTGGAAATAATTTCACGCAGCCAAACAAATAACCTCTAAGGAAATTAAAATTTTAAAAAAAAATGCAGATTTCCAAATTAGAGTTCCGAAAAAAGCGGAAGTCGATTTCCGAGTTAGGAAAATCGAAAGGCCGCGGTGAGTATAAATGAGAAGCAACGGTCCCCCCACCCCCGGCCGACACTTAACGGATTCCTTCCCTCTTCCTCTTGTTTCATTCTTTTCTCCGCAAATCTCCCAAGCACTTCTTCTTCATCAACTACAGTCGCATTGAGTCAAACTCACAGTTCATTAGACGTTGATTATGGCAGCTCCGAATGTTTGGCGACGAACGGTGGAAACTCCATTCAAGAATGTCGTCAAGAATAAGCCACCGCCTTCCAAGAAAGTCTGCAGTTTTTGGCTTTCTGGTAGGTGCGTCTATGGAGATCGCTGCCGTAATCACCATCCGCCTTTTCTCAACACCGACGGGCATTTATCTTTACTCGGCCGATTGAACGGACACAAAGGGGATATCTGCGGCATCTGTCTCCCCACCGACTCCGACAAACTCTTGACCGGTTACCGAGACGGAACTGTTCGAATTTGGGATTGTAATTCTGGTAAGTGCGTAAGTGTACTCAATCTTCAAAATCAAATTGGTTCTATGCACTGCGAGGGTTCTTGGATTTTCTATGGTCTTCCCAATCTCCTGCAAGCTAGGAAAGACAATGAAGTTTATGAGCTTGATGGACCAGTAGGTCAAGTGTATGCGATTACGTCTGCAAGAAGTGATACGGTCTTTGCCGGAGCACAAAACGGCGATATCTTGGTGTGGAGAGGCTTTCCCTCCCCTCCCAACTCTAATCCCTTTCGTTTGATTGGGACTCTCAAGGGACACACCACGCCTGTCACCTGTTTGACAGTCGGCGGTGGAAAGCTTTATTCGGGTTCCATGGATGGTACGGTTAGGGTTTGGGATACAGAGTCTTTTGTCTGCATCAATACCGTGGAGGCACACTCTGATTGTATCACGTCTCTTGTGTATTGGGGTGTGTATTTGATTACATCCTCAAGAGACAAGAGTATCAAGATTTGGGCAACCATTCATGAAGAAGGCTTGCAAGAGGCCTACACTCATCAAGAAAGACACAGTATTCTTGCTCTCCACGGCATGAATGATGCCAACAATAAACCTGTAATCTGTTGCTCCTGCGAAGATAGCTCTGTTCGCATATATGAGTTGCCATCTTTCATGGAGAGGGGCAGGCTGTTGAGCAAGAGGAATGTGCACTCTATTCAGAGCTGTCCGTACAATCTCTTCTTCACTGGCGATGGAGCCGGCACCGTCACAGTTTGGAATTGGCTAGAGGACCCACAGCCACAGGGAATCAACGGGTCTTCATCTTCCTGATCGGATTAGGTTTTAACTCTGCGTTCTCCCTTTTTGAAGCCATATGGGATGTGAATAGAGTTCTTTGTTTAATATTTTTGTTTTCTCTCTGGTCCTGGAGAGGGGGAAGTGGCACAAGGAAGCCATATTGAGTCATTGATTGTACATATGCATTTTTTGGTATCAATGAAATGGAAAAGAAGCAATTACTTTTCCTTCTTCATGATGAATTGTCTTTTTTAGTATTTCTTTTTAGTAATTCTGTTATTCATGCTTCTTACTGGTGCATTCATCACAGCAAAATATTTTCATAACTTTGTTTCTGTAAATATATATGAATTAATTGCAGAAAATCCTGAGGTTATTAAAATCTGAGGTAAATGAAGTAGGTAGTTTGAGTTTTGTCGAAAATGTTGATTGTACTGACAAAACGAATGAAAGGAGGCTAACAGATGCACAGACTGACACCAGCTAGGAAATGAGTGAGAGGGGTCCTGTCAGGGAATGGTAAGGATAACATTCTTGAAAGGCTGGAGGAGTTCAGGTTAGGCTTGCGGGAGCCTTTGCTGATGGAGAAGTAGCTGAAGTTGGATGATCAGTTGCCGGAGGTACCTTTTGTTTTGATAATTCTTGATTGATTGGTGGCTTGTGTAGTGTATTATCAGTTATATGATCAGCATCCTGTAGTCTTGTGATGGTTTGTCAATGCTCTCTTCATAGGACTTGCTCTGTCTCGCCAACGAGTTCTAGCACTTTCTTAATCATGTTTGTGAGATTGCTAGGTCATTCTTCTTTTATAATCTCCTTTGTGAGATTTGTAAGCAAAAAGTCTACTTTTTGATCAAGATCCCAATTTCAGGAAGACAGTTTGAATAGCACAACTTTGGTTTATAATTCTATATTATTTTGGCTTTTTTTTCTGGGTTCTACTTGAGGATCTTAGTACTTGTTTCTTAGCCAACTAGGAGTAAGAAATTTTTGTCCAAGAAATTCAAGGTAGTGATGGAATCAGTTCTATAAGAAATTCAAATAATTCAAGGTAGCAATGTTCGCGTGCCTTCATTAGGAGTTATTATGAAGAGAAATGCCATGAGAACTTCCTCAGAAGCTTGCATGAGTGCTGTATCTGTTTTAGTTAATATGCAGGTATTTCAGTCTTTCCAAAGTGAAGTTTCTTTGATTTGACATGGATAGAGATCAAGATAATGGGGATATAGGCTTTTTGATCCTCTCAAAGAGACTAATCTCAAAAATATTGTTTAAAACTCTTCTGCCCTTTTTTTCTGCTTAAGAGGAAAATCTGGGTGTTAAAGCATGGTTCTAGAGCGCACATAAAAAGGAGTAATTAGTATCAGATATTCTTGACATTTTATAGGTTGCTTTTTGGCGAAGTTTGCAATTTGCAGTAATGGTATCTGTATTCATCGTTGTTCCATCAAAATTTTACCCCTTTCTTACTATCGTAGTTCTTGCTATGATATTTTTGGATAATTTTTTTTTTAATTCTTGGAAACCTTAAATTATTGAATTCATCAAGTTGCGTTGTCAGCATATTTTGTGCAGTTCTCATAAAGGATTCTAAGCAAATTTCAATGTCCAAGTGCGAAATGTAGAGGTACGATTCTACCAGGTTTACAGAAACAATTGTTGATTGGTGAAGAATTTGGACGTTGGAGTAATTGATGCTACAAAGAGCATTAGAGCTTGTGTCCGGTGTTGCTTATTGCCTGAGATGTGAAGTTGTCACCATAAAGAGGACGACAGGTAACTTGCACAATGCTCAAAGTTCAATTGAATATAATCTTAGTAGCTTCTTAGTCTCTTAACAGTTGGATATTTAATTTTCTGACCTGAGGTTCTTGGAATCAAACCAAGTATGATATTTGTTTTTGTTTATGTCTAGTTTATACGAATTTATGATTGTTATTACTCTATTTTGATTACTTATATTTTAGAAAGAAACACAAGATAGCACATCAAAACGTTGTAATTATCAACATCATGATTCTTCCTAATAAGACTAGTTTTTTGCAATTTCCCCTTCAATCTTCACAGCCTGCCAACGTCTAGTGCTGTCTCATGTTTATGATTATACTTCATTCCTCAACTCTTACGTCTTAACTGTGTTTAATGATTAGGTAACACTTTAATCATCTTTAATCGATTCTTTTTATTTATTTTTTCATAATCTACATTAGAAGAACAGTGTAGTACGATTAAATATAATGTAATAAAAATAAAGACACAAAAAACATATTACTTACTTTTAATAGTTGAAGTGAATCTTTTTGTTATAACATTCTGAATTTTTTAATTTTAAACAAATCAAATTTTCTCAAGTAAGATTTATTCTTACTATCACTGAGTTTTAGTTGAGTTTCTTGGAATCAAACTAAAAATAATTTTTGTTTTGGTTTCTATTTAGCTTATAGGAATTTTGTGTCTGATAGTATTTGATTGCTTATATATTAGACTTTGATTTCAATTCATGGTGATATTGATGCATGCCGTTTGGATATTTATAGACATTGATATATTTTTCTAGCTTGAATTCTAGAAATCCTCGACATTTACATGAAATAATCTCTTGAGGATAATTAATTTTCTTTACGAATCCAGGTTAAAAGTTTTATTTTATTTTTTCCTGCAATAAAAACCCAAGACTGTTGAGATTTAGTTGTTGGCTAAGTGGTACTAGTTCCACAAATTCATTTGAAAGATTTTAGATAATTAAATGTCAAGAAAGAACACATCTAATAACTTTTGAAAGCAAACTCAGAACATTTACATCTCTGTTATTATCACTAAAAAAATTTAAGGTTATACGCAATGTATTAACTCTGATATTATTATCCGTAATTATATTGTTTTTGGTAATAATTTGACAACTAGGAACACATTGGTTTTTGAACTTTTTGCCCAATCCTTTCTAACTTTCTAGGTTTGCCCCTTAATTAAATCGCCATGCATATTTATACATCAATACTTTTATGTTAAACCAGCGAACTACAGAGTATAATTAGTAGATATATGTGGGTAAGAGTTTATTATCATCATTTGCAGATATATCAAGCAGAGAAGAGCCTGCTAGGATCAGTCTCATTCCCAATGCCAATCTTTACAAACTCAAATGCTAGAGCATCTCAAAAGTTTCTTCTATGTATTTACTTACTCTTCTCTGCAATCCAATATAAACTACAGATGAAAGGAGACTAAAACCCATCTCTAAAATACTGTGAACTCAATGGGTGCGGATCATCCAGTTGCAGTCAGAACTTCAAAATGTTCTATTTCTATAACAGAGAGAGAGACCCAAACCTCAAATACTTCTGTGTCTGAACCCAATCAGAGAGCCAAATAGCTAGAGATTGGGATCTTCTACATAAGATAATCCAATCTACATTTCGGAAAAATTAATCTCTGTCGATGACCTCTTTCTGAGAAACTTGTGAAGCATTTCTAGCAGCCTGCTCCGAAGCATTGGCAAGGCCCTGCAACATTCTCAAAATCTCAGTTGTATCTTCCAAGTAGTACTTGGCCTTGCTTGGTTTCTGGCCAACAGTGCATGCAAATACTTCAGCTACTGGAGAGAGTGAGGGACCATTCCTTGCACTCATTATCACCTCGAACATATCCTCATCTGAACGATCATCCCCAATACACAGAACAAAATCTGGAAGGACTCCCTTCTGCTTCATTGTTACAAGTAGATGTTCTGCTACCAGACCCTTGTTGACACCCTGTTCAGTGGTATAGCAGAAGAGCAAGAGGTAGAGATTAGCAAATACCAAACCTAACAACTATTGCAGTACTTTTTTTTCTTTATAGAATTATAGAACATTATTTTGAATAAGTGATAGAATGGATCATATCTGTTACTAGTACTTCTCAAAGTAAGGACTAGCTAAAAGAAAAAACAAGATGGCACACCAAAACATTGTAATTATCAACATCATGATTCTTCGTAATACAACAAGTTATAGCAATTTCACCTTCAATCTTCACAGTCTGCAGATAGTCCTAAGTACTGACTCATGTTAATGGTTATACTTCATTCCTTAATTCTTAAGTCCTAACTGTGTTTATGGACATCAGATCATGTGTTTATCTATTCCTTTTGCCATCATCGTTGTATCCAAAAGCCACTTGCTTGTAAGGACCAAAAATACATTAGGACAATCAACTTTATTACCATTATTAGGTTTAAGAAAATCATGGTAACTCTAAAGTAAATTTAGCTTGGAAGTGAGACTATCTTGTCTAGTCAGGTTTCAGTATTTACATTCTTTGAATGATAAATTGTTAATATATATGAGATTAAAGAAAAATGAAATAAAATAGAAGGATCCTATTATATCCACATTTTTTGGCCCAAGCACCTCCATGCAGAATATAAAAGTAAAATTGTAGTACCAATAGGCACTAACCTGAGGTTTAACTTCCACTATGTGTTGGCCACTCTTGACAGAAACAGGCTCATTTGCAAGAACACTTTCTAGGTGATCTAAAAGTTCTTTAGCCTGACAGGAACCAAAATCAGGATCTGCGTATTGATAATTCCAAACAAGAGCACTCTCTTTAGTCTCAATTGCAGAACCATCAGTTGTTTCAGTGTATAACTTCATAACTGGCTCCGCAACCTGTTTCCAGCCAAAATCTGGCACTGAAATGCAAGTTTCCCAGTCTGCATCATGATTTGCCCTGAAATGGAAATAACGATTAAATTGGTAACTTAGTAATACCTTAGGATAATTATTCTTAAAAGGATCTGGTTCTGGTTTCAAGTTTTAGTTTTATGTAATCAGAGTAGACAGGATATTATGGGTTGATCCTAAATTAGGAACTCTAGTCTTTTTCAATTTTTATCACATCTAACCTGTATGTAGTAATTAACTTCAGATTTTTCATGAAATATAGCAAAATAGGAGTTTTCCTTACTAAGGATCCAATTCATATTTTACAGTTTTAATCATGCAGGAGAGAATTAGTGGTTGTTATTGATGGCTTGATCCAAATTTAAGAATCCAAAATGCAAACTAATCTTTTGAAGATTTTAGCAAAAAGGAAGACCTGATAATCAGAAGATTTTGAACACAAAAAACAAAGGTTTGCTCTCTGAAACTTTGACTGCCACATCTAATGTTAGACCTGAATGCATGTTAGGTCTCACATATAATTCTTTAAATTCAGCATTGATTTACTTCCTTAGTCAAGACGATTCAAATCAAAATGCTTGGTTAAGTTCCTCACCAGAAAAAAGAAAGTTATCATGTCTCAATCCTGTGGCATTTAACCGCATAATATTAAAGATTAGTCATAAGAGGTAGAATTTAAGTCAGATGAGAAAGGCACTTTTGGCATCAAGTAAAATTCCAGATTCAAAAACCAAAAAACTATCTGCCTAGTACCCTGGGATTTTTATTAGCACATAAAAGACATTAACGTCATAATACTCATGCAGAACCTGATCTAAGCAAAGCAAGAAATTACATAATGCTAGCTAGCTGAATGAAATATGGCACTGATTCAATTCTCATGATTTATTGGAGCTTCATAACTTTTCCACCCTCTCTTTTCTTGTCCTTTTCTAATAAATCTCAACATGCAACCTCTTGACTATTTCAATAATTCTCAAGAGTTTTGAATCACAGCTACAAAGTTAGCTGCCAAAAAGGATATCAAGGAGAATCCTAGGAGAAAGTGTCATACCTGACGAAATAGCCATGCTCTGCTGCAATTCCAAGCTTCTCACAACAAGAAAACCCTTCAGCTAGGCTATCTCTGTCTTTCCCACTAACGAGGAAGACAACATTCTTGGGATCTCTGCACAAGCTGTTCAAGATTTCAACAGCTTCCATATTAAGAGTTGTTGTACTGACTGCACCTGGCTGCATTGCTATACCATCATAATCCAAAAGGATGGCTCGGTTCTTGGTCCTCTTATAGGCTGAAACAATGTGTTCAACCGAAAGCTTCCTGAAATTAGGATCTAAGGCAACTACCCGAAACCCTAAGCCAAAACCAATTCCCCAGCACCTTCTTCGCATATGATCCCTACATGCCCTTTCAAGATCTTGCAGAAAACTATGCGCCCAGTAAGCAACATCATGTGTACTAACATACCGATAGTGCTTCTCATGCCGTAACTGTTTTTCTGCTTCAGAGACTCGTAAGGCAGAATCCATAGCTTCAGATACAGCATCTATGTTCCATGGATTTACGCGAATTGCACCACTCAAT